CCGCGAGGCACAGCGGGGTGCGGGGCGCGGGCGCGGTCCCGCGGGGTGAAGGCGCGGAGCAGCCTGCGGGGAGGAGGCCGAGGCTGTCACTGCCCTTGTCTGGGTCCGCAGGTGAAATGAGCTGCGCGGTGGGCGTGACCCCGGCCCGGAGGCGCCAGCCTAGGACCGGCCGCAGGGTCGCAGGGTCGCAGGGTCCCCGGCCGCAGGAGGCCTGTCTGCACCGCCCGGAGCCCTCCTGGGTGCGCAGGGCCGAGCCCCAGCCCTGGGTGGTGCTGGCCTGCGGGGGCCGCGACTGCATGCGGTCAGCGGGGCTCCATAATGCACTGAGTGGGGGGCAGCGGAGGAGCTGGGCACCCAAAGGGGTGGCAGTTTGGAGGGTCACTGGGGGCCCCTGCATGGACCGGCCACACTGCCAGCACCCACTGGGGTCGTCTGGATCCCAGCAGCCGTGGAGAGGGACCCTGCTCAGGGCGGCGCTGCTGGGCCCCGGGGCCCAGTGGCCTGTGCTTGTGACCCCTGGACCTCATGACCGCCCAGGTGGGACATCCTGGGGGGCTGGTGGCCGTGGGCCAGGAGGACGGGTGGTTCTGGCTTGGACCTCTCAGGGTGGCCAATGGCCAGGGCCTGGCCCCAGCCCCTTCTGGGTGGGCAGCAGTGGCTGGGGCCAGCTCCTTGGACTCAGCACCCGACCTCGATCCCTGACCCAGAGGCTGCTGCGCCCCACGCACTGGGCGCTCAGGCTGCCCGGAATCAGGTGCATCTGCGTCTTCCTTCTGCTCGGCGCAGGCCAGCCTCGGGCCAGGACTGGCTCTGGGCTGCGACCACAGAGCTCCGGGCCTCCCCTGGGTCTCAGTGGCCCTCCTGGGGGCTGACCCGGCGGGACCAGGCCGCGTCTGTGGCTTGTACTCCGGCTCTGTGAGCTTGAGCAAGTCTGCTCTGAGGCGGGAGCCCCCGCTTGGGAAAGGGTTAGGTCTCCGCCTCCTGAAGCCCTCCCTGCGGCTGCCCCAGCAGACGGGGAGTCCTCCTGCCGCACCTCAGTGAGCACACCCTGTCCTAGACCCACCCAGCGTCACCCGCTGTGCTCAGGCACCTTGGGGACTTGGGGGGCGCCCAGGTCTGGGGGCACCTCTTGGGCCTCCTCAGGCAGATAGAAGTCATGTGCCATGTGCCAGGAGAGGTTCCTGGCCTGTTTTACTTGAGCCTGGGGACAGAGGGCTGGCTTCCCCTCAGGCCCGGCCGCCTGCTCCTCCCTGCCCTCCCCACCCCGACCCACTGCCCTTCTTGGGGTGTCTGGCCCCGGCCCTCACCTGTCTCTCCGCCCCTCTCCAGGAACCCCCCATCACAGGTCCCCAGTCCCCCGTCCCCTCGCCCAGGCTGTGGCTTCGGTGGCTCCCCAAGCCGGTGCCAGCCAGCAGCTGCCCTGCCCGCCAGTCCCGCGCCCACCTCGCGGCCCCTCCCCCGCCTCCCAGTTCCTCTGCTGCCCCTGGCCCCTGCCCCAGGGCTGCACGGCGCTGCACTTGGGCGTTCTCCTGCGGTCCCCCAGCTGCTGCCCCCTCAGCCTGTCCCCTGCTCCCCACCCTGCAGGCCCGGGCTCTCACTTCCTCAGGGCGGCGGGCCCCTCCTGCCTCTTCCCCGCACTGCCATCCGTCCTCTGCCCGGCAGTGTCACGTGTCCCCGGGGCCTGCACCCTGGGTGCGATTTCCAGCTGGCCCCTTGCTGTGTTCCAGTCCCGCCAGCAGCCTCCCGGAACCTCAGCGCAGCCTCGCTGAGCACAGCTGGGGTTGCGTCTCCTTCAGTGTTGCTGGACCCAGGGCTGGGTTCGGTCCTCGGGGCCTGGCCCCCTCGGGCTGGCAGAGCATCGACCCGAGACCCGTGTCCCGTGTCCCAGGGCTGCCACCCCTCTGGCCTTCCTGAGCACGGTGGGTCACAGCTGGAGTCCAGACACCTGGGCAGTGTGTGTGGGCCGGTGTGACCCAGGGACTTGTCCTGCGTGAGCCCCAGAGTGGCCGCACGGTGGGGCGTGCTGGCTGCCCCCTGACCTGGGCCCTTGTCCATTGGCCACTGAGCAGGCCCTTCGCAGATGTGCAGTTCTGTTCTGGGTGCGGGACGGAGGAGGGATGGGGACAGAGCTCCAGCGACAGTCCAGGCCCGCCTGGGGACGGACCCGGCCGCCCCTCCTTCCTCTGGGCTCTGAGTCCCGAGCGGGAAGTGCCGGGGCTGCAGTCCCCGCTTCCCCTCCCTCCACCACCCGACCTGGCTAAGGGGAGCGGTAGCCATGGGGCGGCCCCACTCCTCTCCTGAGGGTGTGCGCCCTGCGCTTTTCTACCCGGGGCTGGCGTCGCTGCCACCTTGTGATTCTGTGAGCTGGTTGCTCAGTAGGGTCCCATCCTCTTTCCAGCAGGGGCGGAAGTGAGGACTGCTGGGAAACGGTGGGGACCATCCTGCCCACCTTGGGCCTGTGCCCTTAGAGGCTTTTGTCGTGTCTGTCCCGAGGTGTGTAGGGGCACAGGGCTGGGATGCGCCCTTGCCCTGAGGCTGCCTCTGCCCTCCGCCCGTGATTCTTGCTGGTGCTCCTGAGGCAGTGTCCCTGTCCACCTGCCCGAGGGCCAGTGCTGGGCCTGACCTCCAGAGGCCACCTGGAACGCCACAGGACTCACCACTGGCTCCCCGCGGCCCCTACAGCGCCCCTGCAGGTCCTCGGTCCCCCGTGCTGTCCTGTGTGGAGCAAGTCCAGAGGATTTGGGGACCCTGGGAGCCGTGTGTACCCCCAGGACAGGGACCTCTTTTCTGCAAGGCTGCTGCCTAGGGTTGAGCGCAAGCTTCGTGTCAGTGTGGGCTGTGCTGGGTCTGATCTCCCAGTACTTGGCAGGGGTTCTTGACCAGGGGCCGACGGCCCGGCCCCATCCTGCCCCCTTCACCACCGCTCGCTGTGGGCCTGCTCTGGGGATGTGGCTGCCACCTCAGCATGGCCCTGACCACTTGGGTGACAGAGCAAGTGTCTTTCCTCAATGAAAAAACAAGCACTGCCTGCACTCTGGGAGGCTGAGGCAGGAGGATCCAAAGTTTGAGCCCAGGCTAGGCAATTTAGCAACTTGGTGAGACCCTATCCCAAAACAAAAACGGCTGGGGTAGCTCGGTGGGAAGGCCCCGGGTCCTTCCTGGGTGCCCGAAATGGTGAATGGGCGAGGTGGTCAGAGCACCCTGCTGAGGGTGACCGACCCTGGCCTGGGCCCCCGCAGCACATGGGGAAGGAGGGCCTGCCTCGCACACACTGGAGAGAGCGACCTTCGTAGGGTCCTGAGGATGGGTGGAGACACCCGCCCGCCCCTGCCCTGCTCCCCCGCCGGCGGCGTCCGCCCCTCACTTCCCATCTGCTGCCCGCCCTGCGCTCCGAAGCGCTGGCTCAGGCCCCGCTCTGCTGAGCCAGCGAATCTGAGGTGCTGTCTTGGCTGCTTCTCAGACACAGGAGGGGCGTCCGGGAGGGGCGCCTGAGGCGGGGAGTAGGTGTGCCGCCCCCACCAGGCCCGCAGAAGTGGTCTCCTCCGAGCTGTTTGCAGGCTCTTCCTCTCTGGCCTGCCCTGAGGGCAGGGTTTCCACGAGCGGAGCGCGCTCAGGCCTGGCCTGCCCGGACTGCTGACTCCATGGGAGGTGGCTCCCTCACACCCACGGGGTCAGCGGTCCTCAGGCCTTCTTCGGAAAAGCCAAGGCTCTGATTCTTTGATCGTCATTTTCCCTCTTCCTCCTCCTTCTCTTTCTTTTCCTTTTTTTCTTTTGTTTTTGACACAGTTTTACTATGTAGCTAAGGCTGGTCTTGAACTCTCTCTGTAGCCCAGGCTGGGCTTGAACTCATGGTGATCTTCCTGCCTCAGCCTCCTAAGTGCTGGGATCACAGCCCTGTTTCTTTTCTTTTGTTTTTTTGTCCTCCCCTCCCCCTGCCCCTGGCACCGGGAATCGAACTCATGACCTCGCGCTTGCCAAGCAGGTGCTGTGCCGCTGAGCTAAATCCCCAGCCCCCACAGCCCTGTTTGGAGCCCAGAATGCATCTGCCATGCACATGCCACCCACTATACCCAACCTAAGGTCCAGGGCCAGTGCTCATGCTGGGTCACCGCAGACAGCTGGCAGTGGCCCTGTGTTGCAGATGGAGGCTGGGGCTGGTGGCAGCTGTGTCCCCTGGGGCCGTCCCTGCCCCTGCCACCACAGGACCCCTCCTGTGTCCACTGACGCTCCTGTTTGCCTTGCAGCCTCCCGCAGCCGGACGAGGGCCTCCCGCCACCCCTCGCAGCCATCCCGGGGCCCTGGAAGGGCGTGGGCCCCTGCAGAGGCCACAGGGAGGCCCCAGCACCCCCAGTCCAGGCCGAGGTGGGGGAGGAGGCCCCGGGGGAGGAGGCCCCGGCCCCCACCCAGCTGGACGTGGCGCGCCTGCGCAGCTCCTCCATGGAGATCCGCGAGAAGGGCTCGGAGTTCCTGCGGGAGGAGCTGCAGAGGGCCCAGAAGGTGGGGTCCTGGGGCAGCGGGAGGGCGGGGTGCGGACACCGAGTTCGGAATTCCAAGGACAGTGGTGCTGGGGCTCGACTAGGGCCTGGGCCGCTGAGCAGGGCTCTGCCCTGGCTGCACCCCGGCCGCAGGGAACTGGCCCAGCCCTGCCTCCTCCTGGCGGCCCTGCCCATGCCGGGGCTGGTGGACAGTGCCTCACCAGGGCCTGACACCAGGCAGAGGCCCAGGCTGACACCTCCGCCCCGCGCGCAGGAGCTGAGGCTGAAGGACGCAGAGTGCGCCCGGCTGTGCCGCGTGCGGGAGCAGCTGGAGCGGGAGCTGGAGGAGCTGACCGCCAGCCTGTTCGAGGTGCGCGGCGGGAGACTGGGCGCCAGGGTGCGGGGGTCCCAGCCCCGGCAGCTCCGCACACCCTGTTCTCTTGCAGGAGGCCCACAAGATGGTGCGGGAGGCCAACGTGAAGCAGGCGGCGTCCGAGAAGCAGCTGAAGGAGGCCAGGGGCAAGGTGAGGCTCCGAGGAGCGGGCTGGGCCGCGGTGGAGCGCACAGGGGCCGGGGCGCTGTGCCCGCTGGAGGTCCTCGCCCGCTCCCGCCCGCTCCACAGCAGCCCCGCGCCTGGCTTTAGACCTCGGGCTGTGGCTTCTTCTCAGGATCCCACACGCTCAGTGGGTCTCGCAGGGCGGCCCCATAGCCCACACCTGCCCTTGGGCAGTTTCCTGGGCCACAACTCGGGCATTGGGTGCCCGCCTTGGGCGCTGTCCTGGGTGGATGGTACCGCGTCCTGAGCTGGGCAGGTCTCCCCCACGTCCCACAGATCGACATGCTTCAGGCAGAGGTGACTGCCCTGAAGACGCTGGTCATCACGTCCACCCCAGCCTCCCCCAACCGCGAGCTCCACCCGCAGCTGCTGAGCCCCACCAAGGCGGGCCTCCGCAAGGGACACGCACGGCACAAGAGCACCAGCAGCGCACTGTGCCCCGCCATGTGCCCCACCACCGGGCAGGGCCTGGCACAGGACAAGGAGGGCAGGGAGGTGAGGTGCAGGCGGCGGGGACACGGGGTGGCGGGGTCAGCGGACCTGGCCCCTGCTGTGCCGCCTGGAGCCGTCACCCCCCACCTCCCTGGCAACACAGCGTCCCTTTTGCCCCCGGGGGCTGGGCAGGGGACAGGCAGCCTGGGTCCAGCCCCACACTGGCCACAGCGGCGAAGCTGCCTGTGCCGTCCCTGAGTGTGAGGGTCCCTGGGGCCTCTTCCCAAGACACGAGTGCCTGAAGGGCGCCTCCCTCACGTGGGCGGCCTTGGGGGGAGGAGGCTGCTCGTGAGGCCTGTTTTTTCCTGTGGGAAATGCGTCTCTGGGCCCTCGGGAGGGAGGAGCTCTGGGGGACACGCGTGTCAGAGCTGCAGCTACTCGTCCCGTCCCCGTCTCTGTCCCCGGAGACCCCACCTGGACACTGACGTCTCCTCCTGCCTCCTGTCTCTGTGCGCTCTCTCCGTCTGTCCGTCCGTCTGTCTTCTGCCCTCCGGCCCAGCCCGGCCTCGCCCCCCTCCTCTCCCTGCTCCTCTGCGCGCTCCCCAGCAAGGCCGCCCACCTCACCTATGAGCCGGCCTGGCCGCCCCCGCCCGGGGAGCCCGCGCCGGCCGCCGCCGCCTGTCTCTCCTTTGCACGGCAGGTAACGGCTTGGAGGGGCCACCCACGCGCACCCCTGCATGCGGGGCACAGTCCAGCATCCCTTGTGTCCCCAGCCCGGCCGCCGAGAAGAGGGTTGGGGCCTGGACAGGCCCTGCGCCTGGGTCTGGGTCCTCTCGGCACCGAGGAACCGAACACACAGCAGCGCTCCCTGCTGCTCCCCGGGTGTGGCTGCCGCCTGCTGCTGGGCTCAGCCCCCGCCACACGCACCCGCTGGGTCCCTGACTTCCCGCCTCCCCGCTGCCCGCAGGTGGACACAACGCTGTTCGCAGAGTTCCAGGCCTGGAGGGCTGCCCCCACGCTGGACAAGGCCTGCCCCTTCCTGGACAGGGTCTACCGGGAGGACGTGGGCCCCTGCCTGGACTTCACCATGCGCGAGGTGCGGCGGTGGCGGGCGGGCAGCTGGCGTCCAGCGTGCCCACCCCCGCGCGGCCTCACCAGCCCTGCTGTGCACGCAGCTCTCTGTGCTGGTTCGGGGCGCCGTGGAGGACAACACTCTCACCATCGAGCCCGTGGCCTCCCACGCGCAGCCCAGCGCGAGGGCTGCTGCCGTGGAGTGCGGCCGCCCCAGGTAAGCTCGGCGCCCGGCCCTTCCCAGCTGCTGGGGTGGAGACAGCCGCCGCCCCCAGAGCTGGAGGCCCCGTGGGGCAGGGCTGCGGCGGGGCCTCGGCCCGCGGGGCTGGCGCTGTGTCAGTACCAGCGCCCTGTCTGCTCCGTGTCACGGCCGAGCGGGGACGGCAGACGCCCTGCCGCGTCCTGCAGCCCAGGAGCTTGCCTTCTGCTTGGGCGGCTCTGTTTCCTAGGCAGTGGGGCCCCAGAAAAGATGGCGTCCATGTGGGGTGCGGAGCGGCTCAGCTGTAGCTTGGAGGAGGAGAGGAAGGCTTCAGGGGGCCGAGGGGCCCGGGCCCAAGTTGCCTGGGGGCCCGGGGACCAAGGGGTGCTGGGCTGGGAGGGCTGGGGGGCTGCGCACCTGAGTGGGGGCCCCCGGGAAGGGTCACCCAGGCCTGGGCTCGGGAGGGGCCCGCAGGAAGGGCTGAGGGGAGCAAGAGGGGTGCACGCAGCGTGGCGGCCGTGGCGATGGCTCTGACCCCCACTCACGGCAGGGCAGCTCCCGGAGGTGCTGCCGTGGTCCCCTGCTGCAGCACGAGGCTGGCCAGGGCTCCTGTGCCCCTCGGGCCCTGCAGCTAGGGGCAGGCGGCTGGGTCTGAGCGCCCCCTCTGCCCTCAGCACGTGCGCCCTGAGCGGGCTGACCAGCCCCTGCCGCCACCGCATCCGGCTCGGGGACTCCGAGAGCCACTACTACATCTCGCCGTCCTCGCGGGCACGGGTAGGTCACGCGCGTGGCTCCTCGGGCCCCGGGGGAGGCCCGGGCCACAGGTCTGCAGGTGGCCGGGCTCAGAGGGCCGAGGCTGGGGCTGGCTCTCCGCCCTGGTGGCCTCCACCCCACACTTCTGTCTCCCCGAGGGTCCCCCTTTCCATGCATGCTGCGGGCGGGGCTCAGCCCAAGTTGCAGGCAGAGGCCCCGCGGCCGGGACGCCCTTGGCCTCTCAGGCTGTGCGCTGGTGAGGGGGAGGGGCCGGCGCTCCCTCCCGCTTGGAGCTCCCTGCATGCCCGCGACCCTGTCCCACCCGGCCAGCCCGGCCTGTGCACCCTCTGTGCAGGCCTGGACGGGAGTGGCCCTGACCCCCTCCTGACCCTCTGGCGCCCAGGCGTGGGGTCGGGCGGGTCACACGTGCTCCCCCGTCCCGCAGATCACCGCGGTGTGCAACTTCTTCACCTACATCCGCTACATCCAGCAGGGCCTGGTGCGGCAGGACGGTGAGCGCCCCCTGGTGGCCGGCATGGGTGGCACGGGGAGAGCAAGCCCAGGGTTGTTACTGGCCTGGCATTGGAGGCCCAGCACGATGGGGTGGGGTGGGCGTCCCTGGCCGTCCATGTGGGGGTGTGGCTTGGGGGCTCACATCTGCACGGGCCAGGGAGCCATGCCCCACGCCTCTCCCAGAGCCGGCAGAGGACGAGGCCGTCAGGGCGACCCTGAGCTGTCCCTGTCCCCGCCCACAGTGGAGCCGATGTTCTGGGAGGTCATGAGGCTTCGGAAGGAGATGTCGCTGGCCAAGCTGGGCTTCTGCCCCCAGGAGGCCTAGGCCGCGGCTGGACTGGAGCAACACCTGCCTCAGGACGCAGACGGACAGACGGCCCTGAGCTGGAGCCGTGGGGAGGGACAGACGTCTACCCCAGATGGACACCTGGACAGGAAGGAGAGGAGCCTTCCACACCCTCGGAGCTGGGCCCCCAGGAGACTTTGGCGAGAGCACCACAAAGCAAGGCGCTCAGAGCCCGGGAGGGGCCCGGGCAGTGTGCGAGCTCCAGGCTGCCGTCTCCACGCGCCCTGTGGCAGCCTCATCTTCAGGGAAGGACAGCACAGGGCGGCTGCACGTGGCGGGCATCTCCCAGCCCTGCCCAGCGCCCTGTCCCCATGCCCAGGGGCCTCCTGCCTTTGTGCCCACAGGCGGCGGGCAAGGAGGGCGTGGGCCCTTCCCAGCCACACGCAGTGGGGAGCCACCCGGCCGCCCCCCACTGCAGCCTGGAAGGCCAGCATCAGCCTCTACTCCGACAGGACGCAGATGGGACCTGGGGCGCTCGTCAACCCGCACCTCCTCGCAGTCTGCAGAGACCTGTCCCCACGCTGGACGCTGGACGCCCCCACCACGCCCAGGCCCCTCCGTGGCTGGAATGTACCACAGTCCGTTTAATAAAGACGGCTTTGTTGGTGGGGCCTGGCCGCCTGTCACTTCTGCACCCTGGGCTCCAGCCAGGCCTTGGGCATCTGCGGGAAGCGAACCAAATCCTCCCCTGCCCACCTCGTGCTTGGGATTAGCCAAATCCCGAAGCTGCCCTCCACGAGAGCGCGCTGCACGGGGACACTCGGGTACCCCGCAGGGCTGGGCACAGAACCGCGGCTGCGCTTGGGAGGGCGGGCGGTGCTCCCGGGCTAGGCAGGACAGGGGGCGCGGGAGGCTGGGGGTGTCCAGCAGGCATGTCCGGTGTGGCCTCTGGTCCGCTCCCCCACGAGCCCCCGTCTCCCTGCCCTGAAGTGGCCGCTGGCCAGGCCTCCTGTCACTGCGTCCCTTGGGGTCCCCTCCATGCCACAGCTGGCTGTGAGTGAGTGCACCAGGGCTTACCTGGGTGTCGGCAAAGCGGTGGGCAGGCCTCCTCTGAGAGGAGGCGGTGAGCCCTGCAGGCCTGTGTGCCCTCCTGATGCAGCACCCCTGACGACCTGCTGGGCCCCGTGCTCCACTCCCAGCCTGGCTTGCTTTTGTTTTTTGAGGCAAGATCTCGCTATGTAACCCAGGCTGGCCTCGAACTTAGCAATCCTCCTGCCTTAGCCTCGCGAGTTTTAGGATGACAGGAAGATGCCACCACGCCTGGGGCCTAGCTTTCTCACCCATGAGTTGGGAAGATTGGGTTAAACAGTCTTCAGAGTTTTAAAATCTAAACTTTTTTTTATTTTTTAATTGTTGAAACAAGTTTACTACATTTTTTTAAGACGGGGTCAAGTCACACACACACACAAGTCTCTCTCTCACACACACACACACACACACCCCCCCGTCTCAGCTCCCAAGTAACCTCCCAGCCTCAGCCGCCTTTGCGTGCAGCTGTGTTCTGTGTGTTTGTTCCGGTGTGAAACAGGCATGAGAACCTTTCATCTCAAAACCGAACTTGGTTCCCATAATAAGTCTCCCCTCCCTCGGCCCCTGGTGACTCCATTCTGCTCCCCGCTCTGTGGGTCAAGACTCGCTTCACACAGCATGGTGTCCACAGGGTCCGTATCATGGTTTCCTCTTCACAGCTGTATGGTACTCTGCGTCCACACCGTTTTGTAAATTCACCTGTGGGCGGTGCGGGTCGCCCCACCTCCTGGCTCTCAGACAGTTGTGCTGTGAGTGTGGCTGTGCATGTGTCCCTTTGAGACTCTGCTCTGATTTCTGGGTCAATACCCAGAAATGGGATGGCTGGATATGTGGCAGTTGTGTTTTTTTTGTTTTATTTTGTTTTTTTGTGGAGAGGGGCAGGGTCTTACTGCAGTTCAGGCCTTGGACTTGCTATGTGGCCCAGGCTGGCCTTGACTCACAATCCTTCTGCCTCAGCCTCCCTGGTGGGGATTTCAGGTGTCCTGAGGCCGCCCGTGTGTCTGTGGAGGCTACACGTCTTCCGCCCTGCCGGTGGGGCACCGGTCCCGCTTCCACATCTGTGCCAGCACCGTGGTTGCATGGGTTTTGAGCAGCACAGTCCTGACAACTGGGGATGCACAGGGGCCTTGCCCTGTGGCCGGGGGTGGGTGCTGCTGGCATCTTGCACCTTGGACGCCTGACAACCTTTGTCTGCCACAGAGAAAGCCCTGGGCTGGGCTTGGCTTTTTTTAAACAGGACAGATTTAACTCGGTGGCACTCAACCACTGAGCTACACACCAGCCCTTTTTTTTTTTTTGAGACAAGGTCTCACTGGATTACCCAGGCCTGGAGCTCGAATTCCTCCTGACTCAGCCTCCCAAGTAGCTGAGATGACAGGTGCACCACTGTGCTGGGCAGGGCCTAAGCCCATGGCTGCCCTCTCTGGGGGGCTCAGAGCTCTGTCCTTTTGTTTTGTTTTTTTGTCTTTTTGAGACAGGGTCTCGCTATGCAGTTCAGGCTGGCCTTGAGCTCACTTTGTAGCCCAGGCTGGTCTTGAACTTGCAGTGATCCTCCTGCCTCAGCCTCCTGAGTCCTGGGATTATCGGCATACGCCACCAGGCCTGGCTTGTCCTTCTTAATGTGTCCCTTGGGCCACTGCAGTCTGTCCAGCATGCCCATTCACTGCAGGCGCCCACCAGCATCTTGTGGCTCTGGGGCATCCCCAGGGTGCTGCTGACACTGTGCCCTGCAGGAGGACATGCGGCAGCTCCAAGCAGAACAGTGGGCCAGGGCGCCCTGAACCCTCAGTGCCCTCCACCCCCGCACTGGCAGTTCCCGCTTGTGCCCAACGGCTCTGGCTCAGCGGCCGCTCGGGAATGTCAAGGAGCACCACTCCCAAGCCTGGGCTGCCCTGAGCTGCGGGCGGGGACCGTGCAGTTGATGTCCTCAGCTCCCAGGCCCCCGAAGTTGCAAGACTCCTGGGTCAGAGCAGCGATGTGGCTCTGGCCGCGGAGACATTTGGGAAGCGGCCGGCCTGCTGAGGCGGGCAGTGGGGCTGCAGCGGCAGGGGCCCTGCCGCCATCACTGTCACGGAGCTGGGAGGGGGCCCAGTTCAGCCTCGCCCTTGGCTTATCTCCTGGTGGAATCTGTCCAGGCCTCCATCTCTGCATCCACAGTTCAACCAGCTGCTGCTGAGATGTATTCAGAAAACATTCCAGACAATTCCAAGCAGTGACGGGCATCTCCGTCTGCCTGGCGCCGCCCTGGGCCCAGGAGAATGCGTGACCCCGGCTGCCCGGCCTCCCGAGAGCTGCCACAGGGGCCCCTGCAGCTCCCGCCCAGCTAGGCCTCCGCCTGCTTCTCCACAGTGTGGCCAACCCGTGAGGCTGCGTCCAGCCCGGACAGACACGGTGGACTTCAGGACCGTCGCTCGCCAGCTGTGTGGTGTGATGATAACTGCACAGCGCTCCGCCGCGTCAGGCCCCTCGGTCACCTAGCGACGACCTGCACGGCACAGGCCCAGGAGCAGCCCTCCGCCGCTGTGGGGCCTGGCGTCCGCAGGCTGGGTCAGAGGGACTGGTGGCAGTGCTGTCCCACACATCGCCTACCGCACAGGGACCAAACACTGGCCAATCAGGGAAGTGTACTTGGGTCCCACACACAAGTTCCGGGCAGCCCCCGGGGGCCTTACCCCAGTGCCCTGCCCCCCCCGGCCCCCGGCCCCACGGCCCCCAGCCCCGGGGCTGGTCTCGCGGGCACTGTGGTGACTGCACCGGCTGCTCTGCTTTGCCCTTGCTGGGGTGGCCTCTGACTCTAGGGCCGGGTCTCCAGGGAGCCCACGCAGCCTCGCTGCAGGACTTGATTTCCTAAGTCAAGCCCTGGCCGGTGCTAGAGGTGCCTGCAGGCTCCCGAACCCCACCCTCCACCGCCAGTGCAGCTCTGCCCGCCTCAGGCTCCACAGCCTCCTTTCTCCTCTCCAAGCAGCCCCGTGTCCATCCCCGCAGAGCACCAGGCCTTGAGGGCCGCACAGTCACCCCCGGGTGACGTCTCCACCCCCAGGCACCCGGCGGGAAGCCCCAGACCCCGGTGAGTACCAGGGACCTCGCCCAACCTGATCTGTGGCTCGGGGGCGGTGCGGTGCCGTCCCCACCCCTCCCTGCGGCCCACCGAGCTGGGGGCTGGGGCTGGGGGCTGCAGGCCGGGGCAGCGGGAGGGGCGCGCAGTGGCCAATGGGGCGCGGCGGGCGCGGCAGAAGGCGGGAGCCGGCCGGGGAGGCGCGTTCTCGCCGGCAGCTCGCAGCCCCTGGCGACCTGCCGCGGGGACCTGGGTGCCTGGCCAGACCTGAGCGCGCGGCCATGGGTGGCGTCGGGGAGCCCGGCGGGGGCCGGGGAGCGCTGCTGCCCACCTTCCGCTGGGAGCAGATCCGCGCTCACAGCCTGCCCGGCGACAAGTGGCTGGTCATCGAGCGCCGCGTCTACGACATCAGCAAGTGGGCACAGCGGCACCCGGGCGGCAGCCGCCTCATCGGCCACCACGGAGCAGAGGACGCCACGGTAGGGACTCGCTGGGGCCGCAGGGGACCCTGGGCCAGCCAGGCGTGATGCGGGCGGCCACATGGGGCAGGTGAGCGCCCTCCCCGCCAGGGTCCTGCCCTGTTCCGGGTCCCCCAGACCAGGCAGGGGCGCTGGGGCTCGCCGGGTCCCAGGGCGGGGAGGGGATGTGAGGCTCAGCTGGAGCGAGCCGCGCCATCCGGGCGGGGGCTGGGCAGCGGCAGGGAGGTCTGTGGCTGAGCCGCCCAGGCCCGGTGACTCACCTCGGCTGCCGAGAGGCCCTTGCCAGCCGGGCAGGGTGGGCCCTCTGGAGGTGCTGTCACCCAGGAGCGGGCTGGCCCCGGATCGGCCGCCCCACCCGGCTGGCCGCGTAGAGGTCAAGGGCCCCAAGGGCTGGCTGAGCTGGCTGGTTGGAGCCCAGTCTGGAGCAGCCACGGGGGCGGGGCGCTGGCCACAGGAGGGTCTCCAGACCGGAGGCGGCAGGACCCTGCCCCACCCCAGGCCGCCCTTATCCCTTCACCGCCCTGGTCCGCCGGAAGCAAAGCGAGACTGCAGCAAGCAGGATCCTGAAACTACAGCCCACACGGAGCGCGCCCGGGGCAGCTGCCGGCTCCCGCTCGGCGCAGCCTGGGTGGGGCAGCCCGGCGCACGTGCAGCCCCTCGGTGCCTGCGGCGGCCCGCGGGATGTGCTTGTGTGTGGCTCGGTCTGTGCTGGGCGGGGCAAGAGCAGGAAGGGCCGCGGAATGCGTTTGTGAATCTCGTCTTCCGGCAGGGCCAGGCCCGTGCCAGGCTTCTCCTGGGCCCCAGCGCCTCCTGCAGCTCGAGGCCCAGGACCTCCGTGTGCCAGCCTTGCCAGTGATTTGTAGCCTGTGCCAAGGAAACCCATTCCCTGCGGCTGGGCCCCTGCTCTGACCTTGGAGGCACCGAGTGACCTTGACCCTGGCACGGCAGGCCTCTGAGCCTCAGTTTCCTGGCCTGTCAAGGGGGAGAACAGCCCCTTGCCCAGCTGGCTGAGGGCAGTCTCCACGCTGGCTTCAGGAGTGTCGCTGGGCCCCAGAGTTAGCCACACATGGAGCTCACTGGGCAGTCCAGCCCTGCCAGATCGCGCAGCAGGGCGGCCCGTCAGGCCCAGCCTTGTTCAGCTCAGGAGGGTTTGCTGCCCGCCACAGCGTAGCTCCCGGGGCCCCACATGGGCCGGGCTGGTGGGAAGCACCCAGGCTCAGGGCTGAGGGGCTTGGTGGACCGGGCTCTGCCCACCGTGGGCCACCGAGCACACCCGCCCAGCCTGAGCCGTGCAGCCCTGTCCCTGTGGCCTGTCACAGCCCTGGAGCCCCAGAGTCCAGGCCGCACAGCCGCCCGCCCGGAAACTCCCAAAGTTCCCTTGCTTATGCAGTCCGCCACGGCCATCGTGGGACACAGCCTGGTGCTGTGGGGCGGGAGCTCCGGGCACCAGGCCAGGCCTGTCCAGAGTCACTGGTGCCCTGGGACTGGCAGAGCCTCCCCAGGGGGAGGCCACTGCTGGGGTCAGGCTCCTGGGCCCCACGCTGCGCCGGCTCGAAGCTGCGGCCTGGTCATTGTTAGGGAGGACCAAGGCACAGTCAGCAGTCAGCGCGGGCGGTTTAGAACAAACCCGAGAGGGACCCGGCGCCGAGACCAGACCTGCGCCCTCCCCGCGCGGGCCGCGAGGCCCTCCACAGGGTCACCGAGCGGGAGAGGTGGAAGAGCTCAGAACGAGGCCTGGGGGGGGGGAGCAGTGGGAAGCAGCTGCGGCCGCCTGCCAGGACAGAGCGGAGGCTGTGCGGGCGTGGCGCGGCCGGAGCGCAGGGCTGAGGGAGGACGGAGTGACGGGCGTAGCCATGGCCTCTGGGCCTCATTCACCGCAACTGTGCGTGTTTAGCGGCACGGAAGAGGCTTGTGGGACTCTGGTCGGCCTCGGAGAGCGGTGGCCAGACTCCTTCAGCCATCGCCCCTCCCCTCAGGCCCCTCCCTCGAGCTACCCCACTTTACAGATGAAGAAACTGAGGCTTGGGGAGGCAGAGCGGCCTGAGTTAATGGTGGCCTGGTTCCACGTGGCTGCTGGGTTCCGCATTCACTCGCCCTGCAATGGTGGATCCTGGTGTCATCACCAGTGGCTCCCAAAACCCGGGGCGGGTGAGGTGGGGCGAAGGAGTGGCTAGTCCAAAGAGGGGAGCCCTGGGGGCGGGGTGGGGGACCGTGTGGGAGGTCAGAGCAGAGGAGCAGGGAGCTAGTGGAGAGGGACGGGGACCGTGCACCCGGGCGCCAGCGAGAGCATGGTCAGGAGGAGCTCCTGCCTCTCCACGCCCGCCCCTGCCTCCTGGGCCTTGGTTTCCACATCGGTGGACAGGTCAGAATACTTTCCTCTCGGTCCCCCGTGGGAGTGGTGCCAGCTGCCTGAGGGCCTGGGTACCGTGGGCTTCAAAACCATGTGCCCAGGCCTGGCGCAGGGCCAGTGCCTGCAAGCGGAAGCGGTGAGAAGTGGTAAAGTCCCCAGCCTCTGCGCCCTGCCTGAGCCGAGCCAGAGGTTGGGGCAGCACAATCCTCGCCCGTCCCAGCGTGGCTCTCGCTCCTCCCCCGGTCCTGCCTTGGTGGGCCATGGCCAGCCTGCCCTGCCCGGGAAACCCTTCCGGCCAGCAGAGTGCGGGAGTGTGCAGCGGTGCGATGCGCCCTTCTCCAAGCCCCTGCTTGCAGGGGGCAGGGGAGCGTGGCAGGGTGGCGGGGCGTGGGGCAGCCTGAGGTGCCAGTGGGAGGGGCCCCCCACCGAGCCCTGCGCTGATGCCAGGGCTGGTCCCTGGCCCCGGCCCAGGGAGAGGATGCCTGGCCCGGGTGGGAGGGCCGATGAGGGCTCCCTCCTGAGGACCCTGAGGAGGCAGCCAAGTGTGGAGGGGAGGGCCAGATGCCAGCGAGCCTGGCCACTCTGAGGACACTCCCAGGTCACACCCGCCCTTGGCTGGCAGAGGACTGCTGCACCATGGGCATCTGCCCTCTGCTGCACCCTGCCGCCTGGGCTGGGGTCGGGCGTGCCGTGTGCAGAGCTTGTGTCCTGGAGCCACTGCACCTCGGTTTCCCTTCTGTCGAGGGGAGGTTCTGACGGTGCTCCATGGTCCCCGGGGTGCTGGCCTGGCTTCCTGTTGACCCCACTGGCACAGCGAGACAGGCAGGAACCTCAGGGCACGTCTTTGGAGTCCCTGCTCCACCCCACCCTGGCACAGGCCTCAGACCTGCCTGCGCCCACAGCCCTGCTCCCCCAGCGGCCGGGAAGCTGGGGATGAGGAGCGGGCCCCCTGCCCCACCCTCGGTTTGGGCCAGGCCGAGACTGGAGGAACAGGCAGACGCACCTCTGCCCTACGCATCCGCCTCCTGGAGCCTGGAGCCCACCCCGACCCGCACTGCAGTGGGGGCCACGGGACCCCTGGGGGAGCACTGCCCCGGCTGCCTGGCGCACCGGGGCGTGGCTCAGTCCTCAGCCGCCTGAGGTGTCGCCGGTCCCGTTCCTGACAGAGCAGTGGGTTTGTGGGTGCAGCCCATCCTGGTTCTCACTCTACCAGCTGCTGCCTAGGCCTTGCAGTGGGCCAAGGAGGGGCTCGGGAGCCATCAGAGCGCCCAGGAACCCAGGCCTGTGGCGGGGTGTGCAGCTGTGTCCCAGCGCGTGGAGGAGACGGGCGTGCGTTCCACCCCATGCTGCCCGAGGCCCAGCCTCTGCCCCTCCCCGTGGGCTGGTGAGCGCGGGGGCCTGAGCACATGCCTGACCTCAGGGCCACCAGCGGCTCAGGGCTGGGGGCACCCAACTCTGCCCAGCACCACCTGGACTCATCCAAGGAGCCAGGTCACTGGGTGGGCAGTGTCCCCACGGTCCTGGCTGCTGGGGTCGGCAGCCAGCCTCACCCCACCTCACCCGAAGGCCCCGCCACGGACACAGAGCAATAGCTCAGGCTTGTGTGGTTCTGACCCAGGCCTGTCCCATCGCTGTGCCACCTTGAGCGAGTGGCTGGCCCTCTCTGAGTTGCTGCTTCTGGCGAGAGAGGATGGTCACATGGTCCTGAGCACCGGACCCTGGTCTGAGTCCAGAGCCAAGAAGTGCAAGTGGCATGGTATCTGCCTGTCCTGAGACCCCACCCTGGAATTCCCACCCGCAGCACCGAGGGGCTCACACCTGTGCTTGTCACCCCAAGGGGCACCTGATGAACCCCCGGCTGGCTGGGGCCCTGCACTCGGGACCTCTGCTCTCTCCTGGGCTGGGCAGAGAGGGAGACAGCCTGGCCCCTGCAGCTGTTCGCATGTCCTGCGGGCATGACTGCGGGTATGCCAGGCTCCGTGTGCACAGTGTGACCCGGGGTGTCTGCTGGCGGAGGCGGCTGTGTGCCAGGTGTGTTGGGTGCTGGGCTCCGCCCGCATTCTCTGCCCAGGGGGACCTGGTCCAGCCCTGAGGGAGGGGTGCCACACAGCCATGCTGGCCCAAGGCACTGCACCTTGGCCAGCCATGTGCAGGACAACGCTGCCCGGCTCCGCTCCCACGTGCGGCCCAGGGCCGCCGGATTCTCAGGGACTGAGTGGGGCGTGGCAGTGGCTGTGGAGTCGGGGAGATGAATGGGCGCTGTGTCTCCGGCGGGAAAGACGCAAAAGGGCTGGGGTAGACGGCGTCGTCTGCACAACGGCCTGACCATTCTGAAGGCCGCTGACTGGGCATTGGAAAAGGTTCATTTCTGTGTCATTTCTGCAACAAAGACAATTTTATGAAAAAGTGAAAAAAAAAAAAAAATGCTCAGCAGCCCAGAGCCCAAAGGGCCCTGCAGCCTGGCTGCCTTGGTTTACCCAGCTCTGAGGCTGAGGCAGGAGGATCATAAGTTCAGGCCCAGATGGGCACCCCGGAGGCAATGGACCAGATCCAGGGAGCCGGGTCACTGTGCCCCAGGGCGCCCCAGCCCGCTCCCTCCAAGCTCCCCGGAGGTGTCTGGTGGCCCCAAGCTCTGCCCTGTGCGTCTCCCTGGGCCCTGCAAGGGCCCCAGCCCCCTAGCCCTGGGGCTGCCCTGGGCCAGTGAGAAGGCAGGTGGCGGGTGAGGGGCCCGGCAGACGGCAGCCCCCGAAAGCTGAAGAGCCACACACAGGAGCGGTCCAAATAGAGGATGAGCAAAGAATATGGCAAATGCGTGAGCTTTAAAGATGTGCTACAGGGCTGGGGGTATAGCTCAGTGGTGAAGCGCCTGCTGGCAAAGTGCAAGGTCATGAGTTCAATTCCCAGTAACCACATAAAAAAAAAAAAATGTACTACAGCAAGAGACACTGCCAGAGCCCTCAGAACCCACCCTCACTTCAGACACACTCATCCCATCGCCCCTGCACTTTCTGCAGCTGCTCTGGAGTCCTTTCCTTTTCCTTT